GGAGCTGCGACTGCCTCATCCCGCTGCCTCCCGCAGGCCCTGGCCCGGTCCTACCTTCTCCTGGTACTGGCGCCGGGAGGAGTCCAGCGACTGGATGAGGGCAGTTGCGTGGCCGATGAACATGGCGTAGCAGGTGGCCCCCACGATCATGCTGAGCATCGTGAGCCAGATATCCGTCATGCTCTCCGGCGCCTGCTTCCCGTAGCCGATGCAGAGCATGTGGCTCATGGACTTGAAGAGGGCGAAGGAGTAGAGCTCGCTCCAGGAGTCGTTCTGCAGCGGGGGACGAGAGCAGCCGTCAGCCGGGCGCACGCAGCGCCCTGCACGGCCGCGCTCGGGGACAAAGCCCAGCCCGATCCAGAGCTTCAGCCCTCGGGCCTGGCTGCTGATCGAGTTTCTGAAACATCGAGAGTTCCACAGGAACTTAAGGAAAAATGTGAACAAAGAGGTTGTGGAATCTCCTTCTCTGGAGATCTTCAAAACCTGCTTGGACGCAGCCCTGTGCCACGTGCTCTGGGTGACCCTGCGTGTGCAGGGGGTTGGATTAGGTGATCTCTAGAGGTCCCTTCCAACATTAACGACTCTGTGATGCTCTGCTCACATCTCCCCGCAGCACCGGGCAATGCGACGCGGCCTTTTCTCCATCAATCTCCACGGACAAACAGACACGAACAGCAGGCGCTGTCTGCGGCTCGGGGGGACCCACAGCTTTACCGCCCCATCCCTGGGCTCCCTTCACAGCAGCAGTCGGGCCAGCCCTTGTCTCCACTCTCCTTCCTGCCTGGCTTCGCTTGACAGAGTCTCATTTCTTTTACTTATTTAACAAAATGCAGAAACCCCTTGTGAAATGCCGCGTTGGGAACAAGCTCTGGTCTGGAAAGCACCGAGTTATTGCAGCGCTCGTGCATGGGAACTGAGACAGGAGATGGGGCAAGTGGGGAGCAGCAGAGAAGGGAAAGGAGGGAATATAAGGGATTCCTGGACTCTTCCAGATCCGGCCTCACATGGAGCCTCAGCTTCCCTCTAGGAATGAAACAGCAGGAGGAAGCGCAAGAGGAGGAGGAGGACAGAAAGGAAAACAACCAGGCAGAGGGGAATGCGGGCCAAGTGGGCAAGAGCAGGATGGAGGAGGGAAGCTGGAGGAAGAGGAAGAGGGAGAAAAGCCATTTGTACAGGATGCGGGGCTGAGAGGCTGCCATTAGAAGTGTGCCCCATTATTTATTAATAGCAGCTTTTTTGCTAATGAGAAGAAAGGAAGAAGCAAGGGATGGGGCAGAGCCCTGTCAGCATCTTCCTGCCACCTGCGATCGATCTGTGCCCGAGTGAGACCCCGCGCCCTGCCAGGGAGATCTCCCTTGGGATGAGGAGGAGCCACCGGCCGCACTGCCAGGAAGGAAGGGCCGAGCCGGCCGGGAGCCACCGAGATGCTCCGAAGCGGGGAGCCCTTTGGGCAGGGGTCCGGACGGCGCCCGAGCCCGCGCTCCTCACTCACCACCATGCCGTTGATGGAGACCCAGCAGTTCTTGGGGAAGTCCTGCAGCATGGGCACCAGGAACTGCAGGCAGCCGTCCCAGTGGCACAGCAGCAGCATCATGCCGATGAGGTTGATGATCCTCATCACGGCGCTGGCCAGGTCGTACGTCATGTGGAAAATCTGCAGGCGGAGGCGCCGGGGCAGGGAGCGCGTCAGAAATAGCCATTACTGGCCCCTCTCTCCCCAAAGTGGCTGCCTATTTGTATCCCCCCCGGGAGCCTCGGAGCAGGGCACTGGAACACGATGAGAGCTGCGGTCCTTGCTCAGGG